ACACACACACACACACACACACACACTTAAAAAAAAAAAACATGAAAGATATGTTACAAAGAAAATTCCATAGGTCTGCTTATACCTAAGAAAAAAATAGTAATAATTAAAAAAAGAAAATTCCAAAGTCCCAATGGGATGCAAAAGTGTCCAGGGCAACCTGGAAGACAAATCACTGCCTGAATTTTCTTTTGTGTTTTTTGAAGTGAAGTCTCACTCTATTACCCAGTGCAATGGTGCAATCTCGGCTCACTGCAACCTCTGCCTCCCAGGTTCAAGCAATTCTCCTACCTCAGCCTCCTGATAGCTGGGATTACAGGTACCTGCCACCACACCTGGCTAATTCTTATATTTTTGATAGAGATGGGTTTCACCATGTTGATCAGGCTGGTCTCAAACTCCTGACCTCAGATGATCTGCCCACCTTGGCCTTCCAAAGTGCTGGGATTACAGATGTAAGTCACCTTGCCCGGCCTGAACTTCCTTTTGAATCTCTTCCTTGATGCATATTTTTAGTTTCACTGGGTTGCTTTTTCCTTTCAAATGTATAATCCTTACCCCATGAAACCTTCCTAAATCAAGTACAATTCATTTTATTTATTTACTTGTTCTTTTTTGAGACAGCACCAGAGGAATCTACTAAATCAAGCACACTTCTAAGAAGTCCCTAGTGCTTCAACATAAATAAGGACAAAAAAAAAAACAGGGCTGGGCGTGGTGGTTCATTCCTGTAATCCTAGCATGTTGGGAGGCCGAGGCAGGAGGATTGCCTGAGATCAGGAGTTTGAGGCTAGCCTGGGCAACATGGTGAAACCTCGTCTCTGCTAAAATACACAAAAATTAGCCAGGCATAGCAGGGTGTGCCTGTAATCCCAGCTACTTGGGAGGCTGAGGCAGGAGAATCGCTTGAATCCACCAGGTGGAGGTTGTAGTGAGCTGAGATCCCACCATTGCACTACAGTCTGGGCAATAGAGACTCCGTCTCAAAAAAGAAAAAAAACAAAACAAAAACAAACAAAGAAGCCCCTTGACACTGGTTCAGTTACAAGCAATTATGTCTTCCATAAATGCCATCTGATATTTTCTTTTTGCACTTACTTTGCAGAATTAAATATAATGAAATTACAAATTTCTTGAAAGTGGAGACCATATTGGATACCTTCCTCGTCTCTTTTATTCATTTACTTTATTTTTTTTCAGTTGTGGCATATACCTTTGCAAATAACCTTCCTCTTACATTTACCCAGTCTTACTTGGAGGTCTAATCCCATGTGGTTACCTCAAAGGTTTATATGGGAGGTGGAGTGATGGGCAAGTTGGGTCTACATCCACATGTCCACTGCCACCACCATCAAAGCCTCCAAAAATTTTAATGGTCTCCACAGTGAGGCTGGATAGCACTGTGATCATTGGCATGAAGTGTGTCATTATGAGGAGTGTGTGTGAAAGAGATCTGGTTCAGCTGGGAGCAGTGGCTCATGCCTGTAATCCCAGCACCTTGGGAGGCCCAGGCAGCTGGATCATGAGATCAGGAGATCAAGACCATTCTGGCCAATATGGTGAAACCCCATCTCTACTAAAAATACAAAAA